GTCTCTCTCTCTCTCTCTCTCTCTCTCTCTCTCTCACCTGTAGAGCCACTAGGAAGGCAGTAATGACCACCTGTGAGTGAGGACTGACAAAGCGCGGCCGCCGGTTGTCTTTGAGACTGCTCACGAAGATCCGATACACTCTGACCGTCTTCACAAGCAGCGGAGCGTACAGAAAAGCGAAACTTAAACAAAACGTGAAGTATAGAGAGCTGCATTTGGCATGCGTCGGCTCCAGTTGGAATACGATGATACTGACGTACCCAAGGAAGATCCCCAAAAGCTGGAACGAGCTGAGTTCTTTGCTGGACGCCTTGATGACTCGCGTGCTGCGATAGTGGATGTAAAACCCTGCCACAACGATACTTATCATGAAGGCGACCACCCCGAGACTGATCTGGATGCTGGACAGCGTGTCCGTCACAGCTGGGAAGGAGACAGGAATGGGCGTGCAGGAGGTGTACCCTGTACGTGGGTTAGGCCAGGTGAACTCTTGGCAAGGCTCACAGCTGGTATTTCCCTGGACGAGCCGCTCGTTGCTCCTGCAAAAGCGACACTCCCAGCAGCACGGTAGCTCTTTCTGGATGCGGTACTCCCCGGCCATGCAAGGCCGGCTGCACACGGATTCCGGCACGTCGGCTCTCGTGATGCCCTCGGAGAGTGGGACAAGTCTCTCTCGTGGCCGGAGGTGCCGCCAAGAGATGTTCTGCTCCGTGCGAGAGATGGTCGCGGTGGGTATGTCGTAGACGGCTACCACCACGTCCCGGAATGTGATTTGTTGACCCGATGATGATGATGATGATGAAGAAGAGGAGGAAGATGCTGACGTTGATGAAGATGAAGAGTTGGAATTGGTGTCACTGATACTTATTACCTGGCTGACGCTGTATTTCCCTTTCACATCACCGAACTCATCAAACTGTATAAGACCTGTGTAACCTTGAAAAGAAACGTTCTTCAGATAACGTATTAGATGTGCTCCAGTCACACACGACCTCGCCTCCATTCCCACCGCGCCGGGACATAAGTCTTCGATCAAATTATGAGCTGCATGAGCGAACGTGAAGACTGAGTCCATCGCGAGAGATGGGATTCTCATTCTGGCGAAATTCGACGATTGCGTGACGTCCGCATCTGTGTCGCACGTACCGTTCTGTAAAGAACAGCCTAGCGTGTTCTCCCAAGACCTCTCGAACCATGGGTTTGTGGACGCGCGAACATCTTCAGTCCTGATGTACTCGTAGTACTCTTCCACGAAACTCGAATGGTACAGAAAAGTGAACATACCGACAAAGTTGCCCGGGTGGTCAATAAAGTCTCTGTGGCTTGTAGCGGCTATGGAATCACTGCCGATCCAAATAAACTCACCGGTGGCGTTTCTTTCATTGATGGAGGAGAACAGATTCCTCACAGCGAGGCTGTCAGCAAACAGCAGAACCACCCGTGCACGGGACACAGCTAGAAGTTCATCTGCTATCAGTGACGTGTCTTCGGCGTCACCGACACGATACGAGAACGCGATGCAGATACCAAAGTCTGAAGCAGAGCTTTTGATATTGTCGAAGGCCCTCTCGCCGTAAGGGCCCTGTGAGTAGATCACCGAGATGTACGACCAGGCGTTTTCCGCGATGAAGCTGAGCATGGCTTGGACCTGATGCTTGTCGGGTGGGACGACCCTCAGGAAATACGGGTGGATGGATTTGTCGCTGAGTTCGTCACTCGTCGCCGTGTACGACACTATGGGTACCTGGGCAGTGGCATACAGATAAGATATCGGCACAGCATGGGTGCTCAGCATCGGAGCCAAGAGCCCGATGACGTCGTAATTCGGTATGACGTAACCATGGAACCCATCGCCATTGCTCGGGGTTGAAGAACCAGTTCCCGATTCTTGCCCTGTGACTGGCTCAGAACCACCATTATCATTATTAGTATTATTGTTACAATGACTACTGGACGAATAAGTATCGAATTCCCGTCGAGGTAGAAAAGCCAACGCTTGCGTCAGGGCTATGTTGCGTTTGGTGCAATCGTCAAGAATAACAAACCCCATAGTCACGTTCGGTAAAAGATCGCTGTCTTCATTAACCTTGTCCACAGCAAACGCTATAGCTTCCGTGTATTCGAGTGCCCACGAAAAGGGATGTAATATTTTACTGCACCCAACATAGCTAGGGGGCACGCTTAGAGACATGATGGAACCAACGTTCAAATCTCCCAGCTGGACGTAAGTCTCTTTGTTAACTTTGTCGTTGGGAAATGCGTACTGTGGGCATGCTGTGACTGAGCAAGACAAGCAGGAGAACAAAATCCACGTAGAAAGATAGAGTATCTTTAGTCCAGAACTTGATATCGCACAGATAAACATGGGTTTTCGTCTGAACCCTTCCATCTGATAAGAGAGGACGGGGGGGGGGGGGGTATTGGAATATGTTTTAATTCTATCTTCTATTTTCTTAACATTCCGAATAAGGTTATTAATAAGTTTAGAATTAAGCTCGTTTCTTCATCCAAATGAGGTACCCTACTTTCTGTGTCATCTGCTCTTCCGAGGAGGAGTTAGATCCTTGACTGCTGCGCAGAAGATTAAAAATGTTTTTGACACTCAAATCCCGTTTTGAGAGAACTCGTAGCTGTCTGGAAAAAAAAACGTGAAGCATTGAAAACAAATGACACGGAAGAAAAATCGTTACTACTGACATTCTGAATTCATACGTTCTGAATTAAAATTGGTTCCTGTTATATATAACCAAACTTTGCGTGACAGGTTTTTACTTTTATTAAACCACTGTAGTATGCATCGTCATCCTTATAATAATAATAATAATAATAATAATGATAATAATAATAATAATAATAATAATAATAATAATAATAATAATGATAATAATAATAATAATAATAATAATAATAATAATAATAATAATAATAATGATAATAATAATAATAATAATAATAATAATAATAATAATAATAATAATAATAATAATAACAATAATAATAATAATAATAATAATAATAATAATAATAATAATGATAACAATAATAATAATAATAATAATAATAAGCTTAGTAATAGTAAAAATAATAACCGTAAAAACAGTAATAACAGAAATAACAATAATACTAGTAATAATTTATTATGATTATGATGATTATAATAATAATTATTATTATCATTATCTTTATTATTATTATTATTACTATTAGTATTACCATTATCATTATAATAATTATTATTATTATTATCATGGCTCGTCCGTCAATGTCTGACGATGACCAATACATTCGAAGAGTCGTTATGAATGGTTAAACACCTCTCAGTTGCACGAAAAATGAGTTGGGGAGTTATTTTATCAAGTTTCAGGAAAACAATCGTAGTTGTTAAGGCATGTTAAATCTAAAGCAAATCAAACCAGTTGCATTTTTATAGCGCACATTCACGCTCTACAGTATGCTCTATGTGCTTTACAACTATTATTACCCCAGCAGACCCAAGAACACTCAAGAACATTCTTGGCTTCACGGGAAATTGTAAGCTAAGTTAAAGCGACCACTGAAGTAGGAAATATTGTTGGGGAGGAGAGGGGGGAGGGGGGGGGGGGGTCGTAAGCTTAGTTCTGCACGCACACATACAAAAGTCGATTCTGTATTCCAGTATCCAAATTCAAATTTTACTAACACAAATTTCTCGGGAAAAAAGTAAAAGTGGAGTTGTAGCGTTTGGGCTAATTTACTATAGACTGTTTTCACTTGATGTAAAACCGAACGGGTGCTACTGTTTTAGTAAGAGTTTTACGGCACATACAAAACAATCAGATCATTTATGCACCGACGATTAGATGGGCTACTGCAGAGTTACCTCCCAAGAAAAGAAGGAATGAAGAGAGATTTGGACGACAGGTGTTTGATAGAAAAGGAGCAAATAGCACCAGAGTACCTTCCAACCACCTACGGATAGTATTCTACAAAGTTTAAAAGTGTTGATCTTGCAGTTTCTCTCTTTGTGTTTTCCTAATCTTGGAAACCAACTACCAACATTTTTTTTTCTGCATACATCTATCTCTTCTCACGCCGTTGTACCCTTCCTCGTATGTCTATATTTACCCGAAGCAGAATCCAGAATCAATAAATGGGGGTTAGAATGCTGATTTTGCGGTCTAGAGATTTTGAATGGGTGGTTGGCGGGTGCTCTGGTGTGGTTTGCTCCTTCTTTCCTATCAAACATCTATCATCCTTATCTCCCCTTCTTCTTTTTTATGTTTGTTATTCTCTTGTAACACCTCTGATCTTCTGGCGCTCATATGACCTTATGCAGTTGCGAGCGTCGTAAAACCTCTACTAAAACTAAAAGAGACTTTGAGTTCGATTCTCAGCAAGGGCGCACTTTACACTGTGTACTTGGAGAAGACAAGCCATACAATCTCAAACTCTACTTACATTTTAATTTGAAACTAGTAGAAAAACCTGTGGGGGTGTAGAAATAAATCTTTCTGTAACCTTTACAAAAGTAACAAAGCTAATTATATGCATTTATTCGATAACTGAAACTCATATTAACTCTTTGAAAACACGACGAAGCCTCTGTGCGATCAGGTGCTGACCAAAGGCAATGTTGAGGCATATTTCGAACCATCATACACAAATCGGAACAATGAATTTGCATCAAAGCATTTAAGCTGTTGCCTGTTTTTGTTTTGTGTTTTGTTTTTTGTTGTTGGTGTTTTTATTGAGTAGAAACACGAATTTATATCAAAGCATGAAGGTTGTCGCCTGCTTTTTTTAAAAATTGAGTTAAAGAAACACGAATTTGTATCTAAGCATTTGAGTTGTTGCCTGCTTTTTTATTAAAAAAATTGAGTTAAACAAAGCGGAGTTGAGAAATATGTATGGATAACAAAGTTATGTTTCGGTTTTGTTGTGGGGGCAGCAAAGCTACGTTTATCTTTTACTACAAAATCTTGCGCCTTCAAGTGCTTTCGAATTACCAGAATACATGTCCTCAATGAGTTAAACTGGAGATCAGGACAATAGGGAACATAAGAGGTCGAGCCAGAGAATGTGAAACGCCGCCTGAACTTTTAAAAAAGTGGTTAAAAGATTATGACTTACCAGCGATTGGGACAGCGCAGCATTCTTTCCCACAAGTGGCTCTGTATCATAATATGTAGCACATGTTTCTTGTCCTGTGGCAGATATCGGAATGAACCCATGATACATCTGCGGGTCTTTATAGGAACTGTCAAAAGAACTTGTTCTACGTTTTTTATTCTTTACTTTGTTTTGTGATTTTAAAAAATATATATTTTCTTGTTTCTTCCTTTAAGTTTGGACATTCCTCGAAAATATTAAACCGGATTGGTTATGACTATGACGTCAATCTGATCTGCTTATTTCCTGAGATTACGTTTAACGATTTTGTTGAAACCGAAAAAAATAGAATTTAATGTCGATAATCTGATTGAAAAAAAAAATACATTAAAGTAATGGAACATATTTTTGTAAGCCCAAAGTTTTATAGACATCAAAGCACATGCCGCGAACGGTTCCAAGTCTACGCGCTCCTAGTGACAAGGTCTCAAGATGACAAAGCAACAACTCTCCGTCCACCCTTAGTCCTCAGTCTTTCTCCAGTTATCCTCCCACTCACACTCCCCATCCCCACCCCCACCCATACACACACACCAAACCAACAC